GTCGATCTGTCTAATTGTTGAGTGCCTTTCTCGTAAGAATTTGTGTGAAAGAAATATTGGAAGACTTATATTTGGGTGGCAATTTGTTTAATGTTGGATTAGTAAATGTGCATGAGTAACGACAAAAGTACGACAATATACCTATAATCAAACCGAACGAGCCCATATTGAACATTTCGAATCCGTGTTCGATTATGTTTCAAACATTTTTCATGTGCATACGTTTATTATTATAGTAAAAATTCTTTTTCGAACTTTTCGATTGATTGTTAGTCAAAGTTTGAATTCAATTGTTTTGAATAACTCAGTAAGTGGGCTTATTGAAATTGTTTGATTAACTCGAGATCAGTTTTTTTTTTTTTTTCGAAAATCGTCCGACCTCGAAAATAAAAATGAAAAAAATACGCACTTTATATTTTATATTAAAAAATATATATATTAACGTAGAAAAAAAAGTTGGTGTACGTAAAATTATCGAACATTCATGAATTATATATTTATTCAATTCACAAACGACCGCAACTTTTATTTAAACTCAGCTCGATTAATAAAAGTATGAGTTTTTATAAGAAGAAAAAAAAAGCAAAAAAGAGATCGAACAAACTTTTGTTTGATTTTTTTATAGCTCTATTATTACTATTGTAATTATTTCTGTCTTAATCTTAATTAATACAAAGAGAACATATTGTGCAATGTGCATAAATGAAATATGTTTTCATTTTTGGATACTTTTTGAGTATCCACTTGGGCTGCTAATGTTGGCCCTCTTAGGCTAAAGCCCATACATACATTATTTATTATCAGAATGAAACTATTATCTGAGTTATTTGGAACACCATATTTCAAACTAGTTGATAAGCTAACTCATACTTGATAAGCTAGCTTATAGTTTATAAGTGTCTTTCGAGCTTATAACTTATAATTTATAGTTGAAAAACTAGCTTATATGGTAAAAGTGTTAGGTAAAATTAGCTGGTAAACTAGATGAAATAAAAATTTTAAAAAACTTATTTGAAAAACTACCCAAAGAAATTTATTAAATAAACTCGAGTTTTTTAAAAAGTCTCGTCCTACCAAATAAAACTTTTTTGAATACAAAAAAATTATAAACTAACCAAATAAGCTATAAGCTAGCTTATACACAGATATATTAGGTAAAACTAGCATGATAAGCTAGTTTATATTTGATAAACTAGTTTATAGCTTATAAGAGATTTTCGAGCATATAGCTTATAGATTATGACTTTATAGCTGAAAAGCTAGCTAGTATTTTAAAAGCTACCAAAAAAAGCTTATGAGATAATCTCGACATTTTTAAAAAATCTCGTCGTATCAAACGAAACTTATTCGATTACATTAAACTTATAAGCTAACCAAACAAACAATAAACTAGCTTATTTGATTACCAAACATAGCCATAACCTAAAAAACAAAATAACCTTATCCCAATATGTTGTATAAAGAATCGGAACTGATCCATTCATAAACATTAGAATCCAAACCTTGAAAACGACAAACACTCTTTTAACGACTTAGGTATAGTCGATCTTGCCCCATGGGGTTTAATTAGCCACACATTCACACACACACACCCATATGTGTGTATGAAATTTGTGGTTAAAAACCCATGGGGCCACTAACCTATCGGCACGATGAATTCAACCCTATCATCTATATAAACAAATATGATTACTTAAACAAAGTGATCACATAATCTCACTTATAATATAATTGTATACTTTTATTTGTATAACATAAATTTAATTTATAAAATTAATTTCATTATTGGATTTTCATGTATAATTTTGCTACCAAGTATTTGGTGTACAAAGTACCACCTACAAGCTATAATGAGAGGATCATTTCTTTTTCATTTTTCTTTTGGAAAAATAACAAGAAAGTATGAAAAAAATGGGTTTTTTTTTTTTTTTTTTTGTTGGCTGGCTGCCTAGTTCAAGAGTGAACACGCTTCTTCCTCTCATACCTTCCGCATCACAAGTTGTACATCGTACATGACGAGTCCCTTTAGTCAGTGTCGAGAAAAAAAAAGAAAAAGTCAAATCAACCCGTCGATTGTAATGTTGCGCTGGCGCGTTCCAATTCGACGCCGTGATTTACGCCGGCGACACCGTTTCTAGCCGATTGTATCCTCTGATTCGGAGACTTACAACGTTGACTTCCTCATAGGACCGACTTATTACCTCGCAAAGCTGTCTCCTTGGTGCCTGATTTTCCAAAGACAAATTACAATCCCACCTTATTTTTTCCAAAGCAAAACCGCGTAATAATTGAATTAAATAATAGAGGTTTTAGTCTAATTAAATCTCGCATAATATTTTCTCCATCAATATATTTGGCCAAATGTCAAAAATTAAATAACACGGGTGACTAAAAACTGGGAAAATGCTACGGTCATGTTACGGTACCATTTCGTTGGGTGTTTTAACCGTTGGATCCACGTGTAGTTAGATGATCCAACAGTTAAAACACCCGACGTAATGATACCGTAACGATACCGTAGCATTTCACCTAAAAACTGACTAAGAATGATGATTAAGAGTTAAGAGGCTTAATTGGCTAAGTACCTTGTACCACAATTGAGGATCAAAATGGCTTGCAGACACATTGAACCCCTTAACCGAATAGGCCGCCTTATAATTCGCCTTGTCACATTTCTTCCGATGCTCGTCGGCGGCGGCCCTTGTGTACGACGTCACCGTACTCACGTTCTCGAATTTCTCGACCCCATCAAAATAAAACACGATGGGCCTTTCGCATGGCTCGAGTTTGTACTCACGGGTATTGAAAGTGAATGGGCTATTGTCCTTGGCCCACGGTATAAAAGTCCTCAACGGGGTGCTCAACTCTTTAGGTCTGACCCAAAACGGGTACAACTGTACATTGTAGCCCCATGCGACCGATATGGACCAATTTTGGGTCTGGTCGTAGCAGAAAGTGTGCTGCAATACCCGATTCGGATCAGATTTGTATGCCACGATTAGCTTTTTGATGGAATCTACCCGGCTCGTGTTCGGAAATAGGGGTTCCACGTAGTCTAGATGGTGCAGTGAAACTAAGGGTGCTACCGGGTGGGCGGATAGTAGTCCGAACGGGTTGCCCCGGATATCCATCTGAATAGTGTGACATTTTTGTGAAATTAAATAATGCTTTAGTGAAAAATTAAATAACTACAAAGTACAAACATCAAAATGTGGCCAAATAATATAACCAAAAAAAA